CCCCAAAACCCCAAAACCCCAAAACCCCAAAACCCCAAAACCCCAAAGGATTTATATTGTTGATAATATTTAAAATATGCAGTTTTGGAACAGGAAGGTTTATTACATTTGGAAAGCTCCTTCTTTACAAACTCCTTTTAGGATGTTCTGTAGCAAGAAAGGGGATGACAAGCCATTATATCCTCATTACCCAGCTGAAATTGAGCAATTTATGAAGAAATGAGATAGAAATATAGAGGAGATGTCTGTTTATGATAAAACAGTGAGGATCAGAAACCTCGTAAATAACATCAAAGAGCAGTCAGTATGGCAGTTTAATCCAGACTCAGGAATGAAGAAGGACCCAAGACTTCTGAGCCTTGTTTCCTCTATTGAAAAGGAATATACAAAACTAAATAGCAAAAACACATTTATGTATTTATTAGCACTCTCTTATTTTCATTTGGATGACAACTCTGAATTTTGTGAGAAAATTTCAGAGGATATTTTAGCAGGAAAATTACAACCCCAGTCTTACCAGGACTGAATGACTTTGCTGAATTTTTATGCAAAATCTGCATTTGCCAATACTGAAGTATTAACCAAATTAGAGCAAGCGTGATCTATATGGAACTCCAAAGAGAGTCTCCATAATAGGATTAATGAATTCTGGACTTTTAACGCCTTGGAATACTACAAACATAGTACAGAGTATATTAACAATTTTGAAGAAATGTTCCTTAGTCTTGATGAAGATATTGAGATAAGTCTCGAGCACATCTCTAAACTACTTTATTGCTACAGTATGATTAATGAAGATCTAAACTTTGAGGTGTTAAAAAGAATACTCCAAAATATCATCAGGAGGACAGATATCTTCCCTGAGAATACTGCTGAAAAGATGCCGATGCCTGATGATCTTTACCATAGTATTGCAGTTATAGCTACTTCTCTAACTCGGCTGAATATTCGGAATGAGAAGATCTTCTCAATGATCGCTACAAGAATCCTTTGTGATTCGTTTCATCGCGAGGTGTACAAGATCAAACCCAAAGAATCAATTCTTATTTTTGAGGCTTTTATAAGAGCTGAGATTTATAATTACAAACTCTTGAGGGAGCTTGAAGGATCTTTTCTCAGACATATTGAAGATGCCGACTCAAACACAGTTGCCGATATGCTGCTTAAGCATCAAATGTGGTCAAGAGTAATGATTAACTGGAGATTTGTGGAAAGGAATCAGAAAGTTTCATTCAATAGCTACAAGAAGTACTCTTTGGTATTTATAAACACTCTTCTAAAGGAGATTCAAAAGAAGGGAGTTATTTATTTAGACTATAAGACCTTATTCTTTGTTCTCAAAATGGGAAATATTAAGTACCTTAAACAAAGAGCAAACTCAAGAGAATTATTCCAAGTTGGACTTCAAGGAATCTCCGTCTTAATGAACCATATTGATAAAATATTTGATGACCCTGAAAGAAAGGAAATTGAAATATTTTTGTACTATACTGAGCTTTCTAGGTGAATTCTTAATAAAGAATCAGACCGACTTGTAAAAGAGAAGTTTTTGGAGCATGGATTTGACCTAGAAAAACTTATACAAAGAGTAGAGGCTGTGATGAATATGTAGAATTTAACAACTATAAAAATATTTTAAGCCGTATGTTCAATATCTAAAGGACAATTTGGGGTTTTGGGGTTTTGGGGTTTTGGGGTTTTGGGG